TACACTACCGATGCTGTTTGGTGCTTGTTCAACCATTCCAAGCAACCATGAGGATCAACAAATGAAGGTGGTTGAGATGTTAGAAATAAGGGACCCACTGGGAGATATTTTTGGATTCTCGACCTGAGCATGTTCACAATGGTGGTGTCTAATTCTTCGTAAGAATCTCCAACAATTGCAGTGGCTCGCGGTAGCTCTAGTCCCATCTTATGCAGCATTACTGTAACGGGATCATCCATGTCTTCAGAGGTTATTTCAGGCTGTAGGTCACAAGCGCGTATTGCAGAAAACTCCGGAAAAAGGTCCAATGTTTTTTCCTTAGAACCTGAAAACAAAAAATTAGTAAACATGCACACATTAATTAAGTTCAAAAAATGTTGAACAAGTATCATGAATGTTCAAAAAAAAAAAAATGTTGAACAAGTATCATGAATGTTCAAAAGAAAAAAAATGTTGAACAAAAACAATACTGTATTGAGCCTTAATTTCTTACCATAGCTCTTTATGTATTGTCGGATCTTGTCTGTTTCAAGGTGGAGGAAGAGCGAGCGTGGTCCAGCTATCCAAAGTGGAAGCCATGGTACCTGCAGTTCCTCGGCGAGATCGGCACCAAACCAGTACAATGCATCCGTCACTAAACAATCGAAACCTTTCCCTGTTTCCTCCACAATCTTATCTATGGCGCTCTTAAAATTGCCAGGTAGAGCCTTCACGAAATACTTCGCAGCCTCATAAAAATTGCCTTTAAAAACATAGCCCTCCGGCAATCCGTTGCTGACGCTGTAGGGTCTTATTTTGCCATGCTCTTCGCTTTTCGAAAATACAGAGTCATTTGATTGTGCTGTGCTGAAAAAGAAAAAGGAAACATCGGGTGCGGCTTCGGATATGCGACGGATGAGGCTGAGGAGAGTGGCTGCGTGTGAGGTGAAGGGAAAGGCGAGCACAGCGACGTGCTTTGACGCAGCCATGGTTTTTGCTTTGATCGTCAATTAATGGTTGGTTTGGTATTGTCTTTGCTTCTCAAATTTCAAGCTTCGGTGCATAACAGGGTCTTTGTAACCTCCTACGTATTGAATGTGCACCTACCCGTTGCATATTCTAACTAACCACATAGGCTTTGTTCATAGATTAGATAGACTTTGGGAATACCTCATGTACGATGTGAAAAGCTCTGGTTAGGGGGCTGAATCGAGCTAAACTCTTTGACAACTCTTCGGACGTTGGCTAACCGTGTATTACGTGAGACTAGTAGAAATACACCTATGATTAAAGCTTCGTGATTAAGAAAAGGAAAAAAAAAGGACAACTGGGACCTATACAAAGGTCAGGATCAACTTGAATTTGGATGCAGCTCGTGCCCGTGTCAGCCTTGTAGAAAGCCGTTACCCCTTTTGTAGCTGGACCTCATTTGTCCTCTCACACATAACCTGTTTTTTATTGGGATTTATACTATTTTACGATCCCCATCCGTCCTTGGTTAAAGTGAAGACATCCCTTGTTAATGTATGTCCAGATTCCATAGATTTTATTATTTATTTTTTAAATTATCCTGTTTAAAAACAAAAGTCTATACTTATATTACAGGTAAGACTAACAGTTGTACCATTAAGTAAGTCTCTGTCGTCAACAAATATACCACCTGACAGTTTTCTCAAAAAAAAAAGAAGCCACCTGACAGTCCTATTATTAAGTAGGTTTCTGTCACCAACAGATATGCCACCGAAACGAGAAAGTCTGCTGTATCCCGGATACAGCAATGTGGTATCCCAACCCAATGGGAAAACACCACATCAACAATTTTTTCAGACTTCATCAATCCCAAACCCAAAAAACAACTGATGTGGTGTTTTCCCATTTGGTTGGGATACCACGTCTGCTGTATCCCGAGGATACAGCAGACTTTCTCCACCGAAACACTATAAAAGAAATCTAACACACTCTCCAACCTAATTCAAGTGAAGAGGAATGCTAGCTGCACTCGCCTTTCTCCAGCACTCTCCGACACTCGCCTTTCTCCAGCACTCTCCGACACTCGCAATTCAAAGTTTCCAACTCAAAAAAGTTCACGTGGCTATTTTAGATGAGGGAGTGTCGGAGAGTGCTGGAGAAAGGCGAGTGCAGCTAGCATTCCTCTTCAAGTGAAAACTTCTCTTTCCCACCTATTTGCCATCTTCCTGATCACTTCCCATCTCAGCGAATCCATATTGAC